AGCGGTGTCGTTTGCAGAAGAGCGAGGAGGACTGTTGAGAGGGAGGGAAGGAGAGGAATGAAGTTGAGGAAGGTAAAAGGGCAGGGAGTCGATGGTAATGGTAGGAGCGGAGGTGCAACTGCAGCAACGACAGGGCAGGAGCAGAGAGACGAGACAAATAAACAAGGCACGACGAATAGGCGAAGAGATGGGCAGAAGGGCAGCAATATGGAGGATGAAAAGGCTGTGGTGTCAAGCAGAGTCACGCATTCCGGGTTGCAAATGAGAAGAAGGGCCCTGGGCGGCTGACGAAGGGGTCCTAATTCTGAAGGAGGGAAGATGGGCAGGGACGGGAGGGCAGCCGGGGGTGCAAATAGCAGGCCCTGGAGATATACGAGAGAGGACGGACGCGGATACTGGAGGCGGAGAGACGGGAGATGGGAGGCAGAGAGGGAGTTTGTAGAGCAATGCACTTCTTAGGAACCTGGCCAAGTACCTAGGAAGACGCAAGATACCTAACGTTCTAGCAGGGACGCCATACTATTCGAAAGTACTCACTATCGATGGCAGTGGGGAAGTATACATCCAAGCCATGAGGAAAGGGGGTGGGGGTGGGTTACTAAAGCACGGTTGGCACCCAAAGGCACTTGACCCTACTGAGCCCAGTATGCCCCTGGGACTATCTAATCGGTTTAGGGGACTTGGGGCACGTCCAGAACCACCGAGAACTCGGGCTCAGGGCTCAGGAGTAAGCTGTGTTCGTAATAAGCTACCTTACCTAAGATACAATACCTACTAATGGACCTTACGGAGTACTGCGTACGGTAACGAAGCGAAGGAGGGGGTGGGCGCTATCGCTGTACGCCATCGGCAAACCGCTGCTGCACGCTGCACGCCGCACGCCGCATACACATGGCTCTTTGTCTCTCTGTGTCGGACCGCTTCTTTCTGATTCCTTCCCCTGGCTGGTATTAGCAATCTACTTGACGTTTACAGCTTGTTTGTTGTGTCGGGAACGTGTGGATGTTGGGAAGGGGGATGTCATTCTGGCAGGCGACCCTCAATAAGAGATGGGAGGCGCTGAAGATGAATAGAAGATTGGACTCGATATCTTATGCAGCAGAAAGGGAAACAGCACAACGTACACCCAAACCTGTCGAGTCTCTCAGGTCGTCTTTACCTATTCGTACCTTAGCTTAATTACTTGACTGGCACACTGGTACGGATGCTGGACATCCAAAACTCAGACCCCCAAAGCGGCGCCTGCCACGGCGAACCATTTGGTCACGAACAACAAGCGCAGCTGCAGGGGACTGGGATTGTCAGATGCTTCTGTGCTTGTCATGTACCATAAGGTACTCTGCATCTGTTCGTCTTTGCAGTAAGTACAGAGTCTGTCTCAAAAGCAACAAAAGACTGTCGTCAGCACAATTCCCGTCGTTATCTATTTCTCGTGGCACAGCATGAGAAACATAGACCACGTAGACAATGCCTCAAGCATGCAGGACTGGACGGTAAATTGCTGCAATGCTTCAAGTGGATGCGGCGACACCCGACCCGACCTCCACAACATACAGCCCTCCACTCCCAAAGGTACGGATACGTCCTTTTCCTGCGAATAGAGGGCCGGCGCGGCGATGCCGCCAGACCCTGATTGATATCCGCGTGCTGCGCGCACGCGGATGCGGGGAGCAAGCAGCCTTCCAGCCTTCCCCCCTTCCTGGCCCTTCCTTCCACTTGGAAGTTGCATCTCCTTCCCCCTGGGTTCCACTTTACAAGCAGTTGCCAGTTGGCGTAATTTGCTTCACTCCCGCCAACCTGCTCCGCAATGTACCTCCTGATCTCCAGGGTGGCCCGTGACGAGGAACTTCCGATGCCATATCCGTACGGAGTACCTATCCGTTCTGTTCAAATGTTGCCTTAGTTAGATATTGCCTTAGCGCTTAGAAGTTGAGCCAGACGCGGTACGTAGGTACCTGAATCAAGTCAAATAAGGTAAGGCAGGTACGACATATGGGGTGCCTTCCCTCGAGGTAAAGTGCATGCATGCACGTTGTTAGCGTGAAGAGTAAGTTTACGTAAACACATCTCTAAGCAGCTTAGGCAGGTCGCCATTGGCTCTGCATTCCCCAAGTGCACTAAACCCAATGGCACAGGGCCTCAGTCTCTCCCTCCATCTCACACTGACATTGGGTGCTTGGGTAGGAACTAGCTGTAGATCATCTTCGCCTCAACCTATCCGCGAATCAAGGGCATCATTCGAACTGTCCGACCGAAGCCTGAGGCCTCTATTGGACTCGATGTAGGTTCAGATCTCTCTCTACTTTACGAGTATTTCTTTTTGGTAAAGTTATCCATATGTTGGTCCTAGCCGACGGGACGCCTCGAAGCCAATATTTAATATGCCAGCCAGCCAGCCCTTCTCTGTGCTAATGGCACGTCGATGGGAACGAAGCATGCCCTCTCCTCACCTCGCATGGGTCTTTCTGCCTTTGCCGAGCGTCCGGACCGAGCTGGGAATTCCTGTGCAGGTGCAGAGAGCCAAGGTACCTGCAGAGAAGGCAAGGAAACTACGTGAACAAACACTTCCCTAACCCTGGCTTGTTCACCATTTCTGTCTGTAAGGGCATTGCTTTCTTTCACCCCGTCGAGCTATGAGGCGTTCAGATAGTCGATGACCACTTGATGGAGGAGTCGACCCGTGTATCGCCCGAGATGTCGACGTGATCCAGACTCGGATGTAACTCTATCTGCATCTTCAGGGACATCGTTGCCTCTGCAATCGCCTCCTACTCGAATTCCTACCCTCGCTGATACAATACTGCACTATAGTATGTAGTCCTAGCGTGCAGAAGGCATTAATGATCTCATCAGAGCTAGAGCCGCGTTGCTCTGTTCCACAAGTCCCATCCGAACTATGCGGCGTTTGCGCAGCTACAGCCCACTACTTCGCTTCCTAGCTGCTGCACAACTCATTCTCGCCGAGATACGTTTCCAGTGGCTTGCTGTCCGCCAGCTCCTAGACCGTTTGACCGTCAACTTGGAACACTCAGACCGCAAATCTATATACATGATGGCTCCGTTTTCTGGCACACCAAATGCATCACTGCCTTTAATTTAAACCTCCTTAACCTTACCCTCGCCTACGCACGGTCTCTGCAGCTCCAACATCATACACCACATTCACGGCTAGAACGCCAAACACCAAACGCCAACGTCCTCAGCCCACCCCCGGCTGCTCTGCTGCTCTGCATTGCATCGCTTGGCAGCTTAAATTACCTTACCTCATTCAAGCCTACATTATGCAGCTCGTGTTCGTTGCGATTGTCTCCAATGCCCGCCCGTCAGGCTTGTATAACCAGATAACTCCATACCAACTTCACCCACCTCGTTTTGAGGCCCCCGATATCAATAGGCATTCAACATAATGGACCGTCTCGAAGCAACGCACATTGCAACGGCTATTTGCAGAGCGGGCACAAGGGGTTGTTCTGCGGTTGATCCAGCCTCAAACCCTTCGTGCTATCGGTTGACTTGTACCGCTCGGTCCGACTGATACATACTCAACAACCCCTGTGAACCACAAAGCTCACCAGGACCCTGAGAAGTCTACCGGGTCTCATCCATGTCTGCACCTCAAAGCAAAATTTGGGGGTTTGGTCGCACACGAGCCCGCACATTCATAAACATTCCTACCATGCTTTGCATGTTTTGGCATAGGATCTGCTCGCTTGTCGGCACTGCAACCCGTCTAAAGGTGACCTGACACCTGGCCCGGCCGTGTCTGAATTGTCTCATCCAGTCTTCCTGCCGTCGGATACCTTTTGTTCCTCGACAGCTTCGCCGCTCTAACCCAGGCCTGCTGGTAAGAGCTGACTCTAGGTCCACGCAATGCCAATGGCCACGATACGGCCAGTGTGTCGTGACGAGTTTCCTATATTGTGGGATTACTCTTGATTCAGGTATGACTTTGTCCGAATCCTCGAGGAAGGGAGGTCGCCTTGCATTTCGTTACTTGGACTTCAAACCGAAGTAATGCTCACGCAAGGCGAGGAATTTGAGCCCCTGGGTGGCGATTCCCGAGCATTTCAGACGTCAGATAGCATTACATCGAGAGATGTAAGTCGACCGGATCAGACCCGGATCTCAGAGTCGAATGCCGGTGTATAGGAGCTAAGAATGATCTGACCTCTTGCCGCTGTCGTAGTTCACGCCACCACCACCTCTCGAGATTCCAACCGAAGCGACAAAGTATCGGTGATATGTCTCACGCTCTTTGCAGCTCAAAAAGCTGGCATCTCGGGCTTTGTCTTTGCAGACGGCAAGGTGCACATGGAGGAAAACCACACACTATTTACTATGTCCTGGTGTTGAATTATATGTGGCAAAGCTTCCCATTGCGAACAATCTCAACTTGAATTCATTCAATACACTATTCCCCTGTCATAAGCGTGTTGATACAGTGCAGTCTCCAACCTTTACCTTACTTGACTAACGTCAAAGGTTGCACCTGAATGCGTTACTCGCTATGCTTACGAAGCATGATTAATGCAGTTGTGTCTCTCGTCGTTCTGTTTTGAGAACTCATGATAACATCCATAGAGAAAGAACACTAAAGTCGAGTTTATAACCTCACCTCCAACCCTTTGCTTGTCATTAAGGCTTCCTGTCTAAGCCTTGATCTACGGATGCTCATCAGAAAGATGGCAATGCCACCGACGCCAAACGCAGTTGGGATCTATTTGTATACTTCATTTATGTCACCTTTGAAGATTCCTCGCGAGGATTCACGGCATTGTTAGGTGGCACTTACGCCGGGCCGGAGACTAGACACTTTCACTAAGCGATAGCATAGTAACACAAAACTTCATGTATACTCATAAACGTCCAGCTTTATTCTAAATCAAACAAGGCAACTGCATTTAAACCCCGGAGCAAATTGAAAACGGACATACCTGCGCTTTCTCTGGACATCTTGTGATCCAGTGCGCGGGGTATAGCGATGCCTACCACCTGGCTGATCAAAACGAACAGTCATGGGGCTCTGTATCGGCGTCTTCGGCGAGGTTCTTGCTTGTGTCAGTAGTTTCAACCGTTTCGTTGGAAGCCTCGGAGGTATTCCGAATCTCTGAGGTCTCGGGGGCCATAGACGTCTCTGCCTTCGATGAACTAGCATCTTCATCATCGGGTTCGTCAGAGATCAAACCAAGCTTGGAAGTCTCGACGACTTCAAAGGTCTCATGAGCTTCAATGCTATCGTCGTCAGAGGACTCAAGTCCAATCTTGGGGATTTCGACAGCCTCAAAGTCCTCGAGAGCTTTGGTGTTGCACTCCTCGGAATCGTCATCGACAAACTTGCCCTTTATCAGGGTTTCCTTCAAGCTGTCCAAGGCTTCCTGCGTGCGGCCTTTGAGGGTGTCGAGACGCTGGCACTTGTCGCACACTCTAGCCTTCCGGACGCAGTTCATGGAGTGCACACGGCGCTCGATGCATGTGGTTTTGGCGTTATCTTCCGTGTACTTGAGGAGGTCTCTCTGCAACTTGCAGATTGTAACCTTCTTGCCGAGTTCGTTGTGCTTGCACTCGTACACGGTGGCGCGGTAGAAACACATGATTGCTAGAGAGAAAAGTAGTAAAAGCGGAAAAGTTGAGGGAAATTGAACTTACTGTTGTCGAAGATCTGGAATGGCAACATCGACCCGAGTCTCGACGTCTTCATATACTCGACGTCAGATCGTGTCGCACATATTACCTGCCTAGATCGAACAGATCTCGAGTTAAGAATTCTGCAGTTGTTTCCAGATGGGAACGTATTATCTCAGGTTTCTAAAGAGATGTTCTGTACTCAAGTAAACAAAGAGGACTAGGTTCTTGTGTGGTTGTCAACTCGATGTTTCTGAACAAAGAACCGATTATAGGACAACAGCACTGCGTAACGTAACATTCGCACAGCCAAAGGGCGGAATATGAGTGGTCGAGACTAGAAAATTCATTACAATGTTTCCTTCAAAGACAGGAACTCGCTTTTGAGAACCTCTACAAACGTCGATGCCCATGCTGTGCCTTCGGACGCCCGAACATCCTCCACCTTTGGCACTCGATACCCTATTCTTCTCAATGTCTTCATCAAACTCGACTCGGCATTGGATGAAATCACAACCCCTTGGGTTGCCAAAAGACACTCAATATCTGTAGTGGAGTCACCAAAGTACACCAGCGTCCCAACATCCTCCACGCCTCTACGAGCTGCTAATATATGAAGAGCGCGCAGCTTATCCTCGCACGTCATCAGGGACGGCTGCCGCGCCGTTGAACCCGTCACTTCCGGCCCTGAGATGCTCCCATCTAACTCGATGTCATTAGCGACGATGTCGACGCTATAGTCCGAGAGGACACCCTTGATGAATGATCCCGACCAGTTGACAGAGACTATCGCGACGGACCAGCCTCTCTGTTTGGCAGCGTCCATGAGCTCCGCAAAGCCATCCCTCAGATCGACTCTTCCTTCTCTCCGGCAATTTTTACCGACAAGTGTCAGGTATTCCCGACTGATGCCCCGGAAGATGCCTGACCTCTCGACTCTCTGGACAGATCGCGACTCAACTTCGTTCAGACCCCGCAAGAAGGCGAGCTCTTCTTCGAGCGAGAGTCTGTTATCTGCGATTGGAAGATATGTGGACACATGGTCGGCATGGTCTTTGCTGTAATCCAGGAGGATCTCCTGCCAATTCGAAGAGAGATCGACCCCGCGCTGCTGCTGGAATTGGAGGCCGATTTCTGCTAGTGTACCGATTGTATCTTTTTTCGTAATGGTACCGTCAAAGTCCAAAACGAGATTGAGGGTATTTGGAAGCATCTGTGCAATACGGGAATGATAAAGTGCGGTTTGATGCTGTCTTTGGGAAGAGTGGTTTGGTTGAACCCAGGGCGACCAAGTCGAACGAGGGACTTGACGACTGTGCACTTCCCCACTTCGCTCACGGGTGGTGTTCGATTGTGAATGAAAGACAGTGTCCAGTGCCCCAGCTTTTGACTTGAGAATTGCTGTGTCGCCACTACCGCCGAACACGAGACTCCATTTATCGTATCTCAATCAGAATGCATAACACTGTCTTTATTTTGTTCTACCGTTCTGCGATGGGAGGGACAGCTGCAAACCCGTCGACACGTATGTCGTCACCTAGTGTCCCAGGGAGTATCAAAATGTCCCTGAATGTAAGAGCCACCTCCATCCAAGACTTTCCATGAGAAAAAAATACCCTTCCAACGCCTTGCGATGCCCTGCGGGTTCTCTGGCCCGATCTGTGTAAAATTGCGAATGTTCACTAGACAACATCCTCCATAATCACTTCGTCGTCGTCATCCTCTGCGGCGGCTTCCTCCGGTGCCGTTTCGCTAGTGGCGCCGGATGCCATGCTCTTCAAGTGCTCTTGAAGCGACCACTCGTTAGCGTGAATGCCGGACCTGTTCAGTACTGCGATCTTCTCCAATGTCTGGCGCAAGAAAGCCTCAGGCTGGTCGAATCTAGCCTTGAGAATGGACATTTTCCAGTACTCGTACTTTCTGAAAGCCTCCATGAGGCCATCCAACAGCTGTTCCTCCGACATGCGGGCGGATCTGTTTTCGGATTTCTTGGGCTTGGTGGCCTTGGTAGGCGCAGAGGTTTTCTATTCTTCGTTAGCGATGAGTCTACTAATAGCCTCCGAGTTCTACTCACGATGAAGGAGCCAAACTTCTCAACCGCAGCAGCAGATCCATGGTGAATAATGCTGTTGGCTGAGCGCTGCTCCATGATCTGTAGGGTATGCTTGGGCCGCTGAGCCTCGACTTGCTTCCGCTGGAGAATGGCCTGGCTCTCGGCATTGTCGACAGGCTTGCACGCCAATTCGTATTGGATTCTAGCGGCAATCTTTGTCTTCTCTGCGTTGAATTAGCTGCTGGTCTGCGCCGTGTTAGATGCATTACACTGACTGGGAATCGCCTTGCGGTAGTATGGCTGCCATCGGCGACCCTTTTCGAATGGCTTCTTCTCCACCTTCTCCGTCTTGGGTCTCAGGAATCGAGCCGGAATGCCAGCGTTTGCCGCGTCGGTTCGTGCCTTGGATTTCGCCTTGAAGCCAGGCAGGTCCTCCTCGGTGAAAACGAACGTGCTGCGTGCGATGTCCTTTCCCATCTCCAAGTCGTATTCTTTCGGCATCAGCTGGTGCTCGGCGCGTTCGGAATTGAGTAGCATTTTGAATCGATGCTGTGCAAGAGAAGTCAGCCCAGTTGTCTATGCAGCCTTGTCGCGTCGCGCATGTTACAGTACCTCAACGCTGCCATCTGGACGCACCACGTCCCACTGTCGCATGGTGCCAATCTCGATTTCTGCGTCATCCGGCAAGCTATCCCATGCTTCCCACAGGTCCTTCGGAACGCGTGCTAAATATGCCTGACCGAAGGCGCCATGATCGCTCAATTGATCGAAGAACTCTAGGTCGCCAGCATCTTCGTATAGATCGTCGTCGTCGACGGGAGCGGCAGGTATGGCTTCGGGATCGGGCTTGATATAGGGCTCCGGTTTGATGTATGTCGAGTCCGTCATATTGAATGTTCTGGGTACCTCAGATGCTCCGTTGCTATCCAAGGTCGCGAAGTCTAGAAAGAGTTGGTATTTTTTTTTGCAATGACGGCAGAGAGAATTGCCCACACCTATCTTTAGCTCCGTCACAGCAAGCAACTGAGAAGCTGGAAATGGCAGTCGTGATCCACTCCAAGCAGCAGCCTGGAGGTACCTATGTGCCCGAAATAGACTAGCTCAATAATCATGTGACATGGGTGAAATGGAGCCAACCTCTGTTTTTGAAGGTTCTCAAGTTCCCGGCAACAAGTTACACATATCTGGAATCCAAAAAATTGTACTAGAGTATTTCTTTCCTATGTGCATTGGCTTGGGAAATAACCAAGTGACTCGTCCGAGCTCGATGGTCTAGATCAATGAACAGTGGGAAACAAGCCCATCTGCACAATTAGCCCAGTCATCAAGTCATCCTGAGAGGTACCTCAGTGACAGTGTCCGTCACTGCCTGCCTTAGCTCTAGACAGGGGCCCGTACAAGTCAGCTTGGGGAACCACTTAAAAGCCGCATGCCCCACTACGGATCTGGCACTTCGGTGTTCGTGACCTCTTTAAAAAGACCCATCCACCTGCAAATTCCCGCCATCACTTACATATACCAGCACCTCAGCAACGAAGATCTAACTCTTGAGCATAGTACTTCATATCGGTCCGGCCTGTTGCCACAGAGCCCCGAGGGTTCTCCTCCTCCTCGACAGAAACCTTCTGCTACAACAACCTCCTAGTCGAATTACCTATATACCCACTTTATCCGCTATTTGAATAATGAGCCTGCGATTCGACTGTTCCCCGATAACGACCATACGAACGAACGCCTTCATCACGGCGGCAACGACCATCAGCTAGGCCCTTTTGCAAAAAATTCAGCTACAACAGTCAAAATGGCGCCGACTAAGTCACTTGCCGAGCTGTGCATTGCTATGTGCCAGAGACACATCACAGAACTCAGCAGTGTGGGCAATGGCGACGCCCTTCAATACCATCATGTCCGCGACATCCTCTTGAGGGTCATCAACCCGGCTCAGCTCCGAGAGATCGAGCTCAACTCCCCCTTCATACAAGGCGAAACCTCCGAGCTCTGGCTGCGCCTTATCAAGAAGGAATTCCCATCCGAAAGCCACGAAAAGAATTACGCGCCTAAGAATCCGTCGAAGTGGTACAAGATATACGAGCGATATGCGGAGGAACGCCGCGAGGCTCAGCAACAGGCTGAGGCTGAACTTCTCGCCAGAGTTCAGGGGCTTCGGCAGAAGAAGGACAATAACGTCAGCAGGATCGTAGACCCCAAGTTGGCCAGATTCTTGCCCAAACCGCCTAAGACTGGTCGCACCTTTTCGACACAGCCTCGAGGGAAAAAAGAGCTCCCGAGTACCCTAAGCTGGGCCGCCGGAAGCAGAATGAAGACGACGACTGGCGCTAGCGTCATGAAGAAAGCCCGCAGAGAAGCCAAGGAGATCAAGGGCATAAGAAGCACCATGGCTGTCCCAACTGGCATGATCAGGGCTCCTCGATTGAATCAAGCCCCGCCCTCGATGGCTGCTGAGCACCGAATCTCGAGCCAACCAATCTTCCGGCCTACATCTACTAGCAGCCGCCCACCCACACATTCTACATATGCCACTCCGCAGTCCAAGGCTACGTATGTATCCGACTCATCGGATGGCGAGGATGGTGATTTGTTCAGCGATGAGGGAACGCCCAAGAAGAACAAGGGCGCAGCATCTTCGTCTCGCCACAGTCGGGAGACGACAGCTTCCTCTAGGCCTACGAACCCTTCCCAATCCTCATCATTCAAGGATCGCAACTCTTCCACGTCCGCCAGATCTACCTCTGGCTTCAAACAATCTCCTTCTTCTAGCTCACAATCATCGGGTTTGCGACGTGGTGGTGGTGGTATTCTCGGAAATGCCCCTCGGCCCAAGAGTAACATCAGGGTTGAGCGCCCACCATCCAGGCCCGAGCCACCCTCTGCGAGTACGGACCAGTCCCGTGCGCACAAAGTGCTCGCTCAGAATAACGGCCCACAATCTCCTCCTTTGCCAACATCGTTGGACGAAGCGCAACAAGCTCGACCAATTCTGGGCAATCAGGAGCTGCCCAGAAAAAGAAAGGCTGTCGACATTTTTATGCCTAAGAAGAGGCCAACCAGGCGCTGAAAGACAGTGTAATCTGGCTTGGCTGGAATGAGGAACCGCGAGTATTGGGATATATGAGGAAGTCGGGCATTGGTAAAGGGACAGGTTGTATAGCATTGGAATTCAGGCGTCGGGTAGGATATGGTATATACCCCTATGCTTCGTGTGGTGATCCTGCCGATCACGGCATAATTAAATTGAACTCAGTTGAAGAAACATGACGGTGCGTTTGCTTTCGACTTGGCACCATCTCTTTGACCACTGCTACGTTCATGTGACTACCTGGCTCTAGTCTCCATGCGCGGATTATCACAGGCAGCCTTTATGCGCTAGGCTATGGTTCCCTTGATGTCAAATCCCAAAGCAGACCTTGTTAACCCTGGCATGACAGCCTGCCCCGAGCTCCTCCATCCTTTGGACAGGCAATGTTCAATATCCCTCTGTCCCAAAGGGACACAGCTATTGCATGTCGTTCCTCATCGGCCCTGTATGCTCCGTCTCAATGACACTGAAAACATCTGCATATTGTTCCCGTCCTCTCTTCTCTTGTCAAAAGCTGTCGCCAGGAATTGAGCTAGTAACCACCGCGAAGGGCAAGAACCAAATGCAATGTGGCGCCAGCCTCGAGGCCATATTCGGATGCAGACTTGTCGTCGACCCTGTTCGAGCATCTTGTCAGCCAAATGGTCCTTTGTTGGACTCTACCCAAGCTCCCGGTCTTCGCCAACTGGTGAAAGCAGACCGGGCTCCAAGGGTATAAACCTCACATTTGCTTTCCGCCGTAGATGAGTCTTTGCTGGACGGGCGGGATGCCCTCCTTCTCCTCAACTTTCTCCTTGATCTGAGAGACCTGTTGCAAGATTGGTCAGCGTCATGTTTCCCCCTCTCCCTCTGTTCGTTGTATCCGGTGGGCAATGTGTCGGGAATGTTACGCGCCTTGTATTCGTTCTCGATGTCCAGCTCAATCTCCTTGCCGGTAAGCGTGCGCACCCTGTTGGTGTAAGCAGTTATTCGCAATAGGTAGAGTCGTGTCACCGCCTCTAGAGGTCCAGACGACTGGGATTCGCGTACTTGATCAACATTGTGGGCGTGTGAGGGATCGCGAAAACGATGTGTGGCCTTGAGGTTGTTTCGGAGGAGAGGTAGAGAAGACGAGGTTGTGTGGTATTCGAATTCGACTTGGCGGGCTTGTGCGGTTTGTTGGTTGAGGATGTGACGGTTGCACGATTAATCTCGAGCTATCCGCAGGCAGGAAGTCATGGTGGGGGAGGGGCCCTTCTGTAAGCCGAGCAGGGGAGGGGGACCTTTGAGATGCCCGGGCCCACCCCAGGCACGTCTTACAACTGAGGTGTGCAGGCACCCACCAGTTTCGACGGCCTGTGCTGCGAATGGATTGACGGCTGTCCAAAAAATGGTGTACATAGAATCCCAAATGTATTAGGCCTGCTACTGTGAAATACTTTACATATTGCAATGTAACTAGCGACAGTTATGATGTGAAACCTTCTTTTCTTCTGTGCCAGAATTACTGAGGAGTTTCTTTTTGTTGTACACGGATGGACTATCCACCAACCTCCCGAGTCTCATGCATTTGCAGATGATGTGTTACCGAAGCTCTCAGAGGCGTTTTTCATTATTATACAAGTCCATGCCAGATTTTGATGTTGTAAGAGTACAGTGTGGAGAATTCGCGCCCAAACGCCGACGCCTTATTTCTTGTCGCTATCGTCAAACACGTTCAGACCCAGGCCCTCAGAGTCAAGCAACAACCGGTTCTTACTGCCGGACTCCTGCATCTGCTGGGCAATGGCGCGCGCGTTCTCAATCTTCTTGAGCTCAACGTAGGCCTTGCTCTTCTTGATGGCATCTCCAATCAGCTCAGCAGAGCGAGCCTCACCCTGGGCCTTGACCACCATGGCCTGCTTCTCCTGGCGAGCCTTGTCGACGACGAACGCCGCGCGCTGAGCCTCCTGCTGAGCAACCTGTTTCGCCTCGACGGCAGCTGTGAATTCCGGAGAAAAGGCAAGGTGCTACGGCGCATTGTTAGCGAGAACTCAAGACAAACTAACAGAGGAGCATATTCATACCGTTAGGGACACATCGTCCAGCAGGATGTTGAACCGTGCGGCACGGCGGGAGAGGTTCTCGCGGACCAGCTTGGCAACCATCTCTCTCTGGGTAATGAGCTGGGAAGCGTTGAACTGAGCCACAACACTCTTGAGGACCTCGTTGACGATGGATGGCAGCACTCTCTCGTCGTAATCTGTGCCGAGTGTGCGGTAGATCTGAGGCAGGGCCTTGACATCGGGTCTGGAAAGGACACGGCAGGTGATGTTGACCATCTGCAAGTCCTTGGTTCCGGTGAGGGAGGCGACGTTTCTAGGCTTCGCGCGAACATCGTAGGTGACGGGAGTCTCGAACCAGGGGATGATCAAGTGGGTTCCTAAAAGAGGAAAACCTGTCAGCCCATTGCGTTCTCCAAAATCAAGAGAAATGATGCCTCTGTGAATGGCGTGGAGGGGCGCTGCCTACCTTCGCTGTAAATCTCCTTGCTCACACCCGTTGTCCTCCGGTACTTGATCGCTCTGTGACCACCATCGACGTTGAACAGCGCATTCTGGGCCACGAATGCAGCACCTCCCAAGAGAACCAGACCGGCAAGTCCCATGCCAGCGCCGCGAGGACCCCCGGGCATGCCGCCGCCACCGAAGCCACCGCGCTTCTGCTGCTGCTGGGCGACAGCTCTGAAGCGCTCATAGGCCTCCTCCATGGGGTTTCTTCCTCCAGACATGGTCAGGTTCGGGTACAGGCGCGTCTATCGATTGAAGTTGAGCTCGAGAGAAGTGAGCTTCGATCGGTGCTGTTTTGCGGTCGATTGAGTGCGGGTTGCTGCAGCTTCGGAATGGGAAAGCTGATGGTGGAGCTTTGTCAGACCAGTATTCAACGTCACGGTTCGTCTGGCGGAGCTCGAAAAATGGTGTTGGCCGGTGCTCTCGGCTTGAAATGTGCCCCCGGCGGCAGCTGGCAAGCACCTCAGGCAGCTCGCGGCTCGTTCGAGCCGTCATCAACCTGGAAGGTGCACAGACCATCCCCGGATTACCCATCCGCCCATCTTGGCAGCTGGCACCACTTGTCCTAGCTGGCCATCATCACCAAGACAACTTGAGAGCATCCGTGCAGCCAGCTTCATCGTCTCATCACCACGACACAGAAGCGGACAAGTTGTTTGCTCGTATATTACCCGTGGCAATGAGATTTTGGGTCACGATTGAGAGCTGAGTGTTTTTTCTAATCTCGAGACCTCCAAATCTTTCGTGTGCAGCACCTACGCCGCAGATTAGCAAGCACCCACAGACGGCCGATAAGTAGACCGAAGGCAACTTGATGCCGGGCTGTTTGATATTATTTGGCTTCATGTATGCGAGCATTCCCAAGCGAGTCTCAATCGAGGTCGAGGTGGATCGACGCTATGGACTACTTCACCCACAACATACTTGGCAAGCATTTGATTGCTTCGATATCAGATAGAGAGAGCACTATGATAACATCCTAGGCGAAGATTTCAAGTAAATTTCATTAAGATATTATCAACCTAATCACGCTTCTGAATCGTAGCAGCGTCCACGTATGGATAGCCTCAATCCCACGATACTATCACGGTGCATTAACAGAATATTATAGTTGCAAGTTAACCCTCTTGGCTCTAAAACCTCCTCGCGGCCTCCTCGGCGCGTCTACCAAACTTCTTGATCCAAGAAGCATCGTAGGAATCCAACTCTACGGCACGCTGAGGCAAGCTTCTCTTTGCGGGATGAACGTTGGCTGCGGTGATATTTCCGCAGTCGGGCCTCTTCAAGTCATTTCCAAACACATCAACAGCCCAGAGCAGAACGCCGTTTGTCCAGCCGAATCCTTCCACGACTTCATATTCTCCACCGCCACCTGCGACGTTGGTCGAGTTATCGCCGTACTTCTCAAACATGGTTCCGACGCTCTGGGCAGTCAAACCCTGCAGCTGGGGAGTCTCGCTAGTTGAACCACCCGTAGCATACCATGTGCAAAAGGTAGAGTCCAGGTATCGCTGTCCGAGGCGGAGGGCGAGGCTTTGGACGTCACGCCAGGCGGGGTCTGACTCTCCAAAAGTTGCGGGCGTCCTGCGAAGACCTTCCATGAGGACGTGCATCAAGGGCGGCCAGACATTTGGCTGATCCCATTGCTGACCTGTCTTGAGGTTCGTGGCGGGGATGCCGCCCTTCTTGATGTCCAAGTACTTCTCCACACGCTGGTATGCTTGCTTTACCGCGTAAGGGTTGTTCTTGAGGTGTGAAGGCGCTGCACCTGTCCAGAATGGGTAGAATTGAGAAACTGAAAATAGAACCTGTTGTTCTGCTTCGGCGGTGTTCGTTTCAATGTCGCTGGCATCGTCGTCTTTGGGAATGTAGATGTTCTGACCTCCCGAGGTCACGTTGTAGTCAAAGTAGCTTGACAGGGTAGAGTTCCACATCAAATCGTACATAGCTTGACTTCGTTTGTTGGCAAGTTCAGTCCACGTCGCTGCTCCAGTGCTATTATTCGTGGAGTTGAGAAGAGCGGCAATGGTCATTTCGTTCCAGTACAAGATGGAGTTCAGCTCCACCGGAACAGTCTCTAGAACGTTGAGAGACCGGAGAGGGAAGTAGACGTCCCTCGCCGCATCTGCAGGTCGAGAAAGCCATCGTGAGCTGTAATCCCAGCCGCTCTCGGCACCGGATGCAAGGTTGGCATAAACACGGGCCTTTTCGGTGTCGTTCAGCTTCTCGACCTCCGGGTAAATGATTCCGCTGGTCGAGTAGTAGGAAGAGTTCGATGCAGTAATGTAGTCTTCTCTGTATGATTCGGGTCTTGGTTGTGTGTTGGTGACGTTGTATCTGAAATCACAAGGTCAGCAACATGCTCATAAGTTAAGTGGTTTCAAGATTCCACTGACTGGTTCAGAGTATATGTGGTCCCGTTTCTGTTTACTTCAACAGTTCTGTTTGTCATCCAGAAGTCATGCTCTTTGATGAGGAGAGGGATTGCCCGGTCTAGTATGCTCCGGTCGCTTGTGTACTCGATGTAGAGGCGCACCATTTGTGCTAGTAATGGCGGCTGCGAACGGTTCAGATAGTAGATCCGAGCACCATTGGGCACAAATCCGAGTTTTTCTACGAGATCCAAGAAGTTTTCGATAACGTTCTTGGAGATCTCAGTGAAAGCGCCGCCTGTGCGCAAGAGGCCCTCGAGAATCCCTACACGACATTACAAGTCAGTCGACAGCTTGCCATATAAACATGAAGCTGTGTAGTGGGCTCTTACAGAAAGAATCCCAGTAGTAAGGCTCGCGGAACCGGCCTCCGGCAACCACAAAGGTGTGGTTGACTGGGATGAAGCTGTTCGGACATGTTGTGCAGTTGCTTGCAGAGCCAGCGTAGGTGCGGGTTAAGTCCGGCCAGATGGCAATGACCTTCTGAGAGAATTCCTTGATCACTGTATCGTTGATTTTGTCGAGGAATTTTGGGTCCGTTTTCAATTGATCCTTGGACACTTCCTTGAGCTCACCACCTGCTGCGGCAAAGTTGGCGCGTAGGAAGTCATTGAGTGCAGTATTGTTACTCAGAGGCTTCGACAGATTGTTAAACGCCGTTTGGATCTCTTCCAGAGACTTGATGGCAGGCCTTTCGAGGAGCGATGAGTATCAGTAACTAGTTCTAGGTCGAGTCCTGGGAAGTGTACAGTATGACAGGCACTTACATGTCCACAAACGTCTTGGAGTCTGAGAACGGTCTTGCCAGCTCAACTTCCTTCAAGATATCGCCATGGCAGTAGATAGGTGAG